TGCCCCATCAGCGGAAGCTTGCACAGTACGACAGTGCGGAACTGATTTCGGTGGAACCTTTAGAACAGCGGTTCTCAACCTGTGGGTCCCGACCCCTTTGGGGGTCAAAAGACCCTTTCACAGGGGTCGCCCGATTCATAACAGTAGCAAAATGACAGTGATGAATTAGCAACGAAAATAATGTTATGGTTGGGGGTCACCACCACCTAAGGAGCTGTATGAAAGGGTCGCGGCCTGAGGAAGGTTGAGAACCACAGTGGGTTTGGTTTTTGTTTCTGGTATTGACTTTGGATTTCCATTTGTCCATTTATAAAATTACAGGATTGAGGTTACTAATCAGTGAGGTTCATTTCCACGTTAAAAAAAAAGATTTTTAGATTTTCTCTGAAATGTTAATGCTATATAACTAGGAAAATATCAGAGACCAGTATTCATGGGAATCTGGCATCATTAAAAAGCTCAGGAAAGGGTACAGTGAATAATAATATCTTCCAGGTACCTTATCTACAGTCATATTTATGTTGGATGAATGTTGGACTCGTAACTGCAAAGTTGTTGGTTCAAACCGAACAGCCACTCTGCGGAAGAAAGCTAAGGTTCGTTGCTCTCTTAAAGAGGAATAAAGCCGTAACTCATACTGTTCAGAGTCGCTATGAGTCAGACTTGACTCAATTGCAGTCTGTTTGATTTGGTGGCTTTTTGTGATCCTCCCCAGCTGGTGCCGTGGAGTCATTGGGCTACTAATGGCAGGGTCAGTGCTTCGCACCCAGCAGCTGTTCTGTAGGAGAAAGATGAGGCTGTCTGTAAAAATGTATAGTCCTGAAACCCCTGAGGAACACTTCGATTCTGCCCTATCTGGTCCATGTGAGTCAGAATCACTGATGACAGTGAGGGGGTTATAATGAACTAGATTACTCTCAGGTGCTGTAGCACAGCGGTTCTCAACCTGTGGGTCGCGACCCCTTTCGAGGTTGAATGATCCTTTCACAGGGGTCTCCCGATTCATAACAGTAACAAAATTAGAGTTATGAAGTAGCAACGAAAATAATGTTATGGTTGGGGGGGTCACCACAACACGAGGAACTGTATGAAAGGGTCACAGATTAGGAAGGTTGAGAACCACTGCTCTAGTACTTTCGAGGGGCTGGCTGAGTTCTGCTTCATAGTCTAGAAATTTAGTAGATGCGATGAAAGTTTTGTGACCCTCTGCATCTAAAGTAGGAGTGTTTTTATATGAGCCCATCTTCTTTTGAATAGGATCTCTCCATTTGGGTAGGAGGGCGGCAGGGAGAATTGTGTTCAAACCCAATGAAGAATAGAATGCTTTAGATGTTACTAACAATACATTTTTTGGCCTGTGGATAATTTTAATTCTCTTATTTACCCAAATCTTAAAAGCTGTGCATTAAATACATTGTCTTGTTTCATGGAACTTTGTACAAAAGACTTAGAGTTGATTTCTACAATTCTGTTCCAGAAACCAGAGGCAAGAGAGAGAGAGAGAAGGACACGCGGGAAGAACGGGAGTATGAGCAGGAGCAGAACTCTTCTAGGGACCACAGGGATGAGAGAGACCCTCGTGATGGCCGGGATCGGAGGGACACCAGAGATGGCAGAGACCGAAGGGAACCACTTAGAGACTCCAGAGATCTGCGGGACTCCAGGGACATGAGGGACTACAGCAAAGACTATAGCAAAGACAGCAGGGAGCCGAGAGAGTCTCGCTCCACCCGTGATGTGCATGACTACAGGGACCGGGAGAGCCGTGATGCCCATCGGAAGGAGGAAGTGTATCAGGAAGAATCCCGGAGTTATGGCAGAAACCATTTAAGGGAAGAAAGTGCTCGAACTGAAATAAGGAATGATACCAGAAATGAGTCTCGAGGTGAAATCAGGAACGATCGCATGGGCAGAAGTAGGGGCAGAGGTCCGGAGCTGCCTGAAAAGGGTAGGTTTTCCATATGTTCCCTATACATCATCCTTAAATTTCTCAGTAGATCGTTAATATCTTCCTTATCATTGGTCAGTTAGTTTTCATTTGTTTTGTGTTCTTCCCTTTAAATTCCGAATGGTAATGATTAGCTATGTAAGATAACAAAACTTAAAGGGGCGTGGCTAGACACCCTGGTTAAATTACGCACTCATGCCTACCATCCTGAAATAATCACCAGAGCAGAGTGAGATTCAAATGCCGGGCTATGAAAACTGATGGCATCAGAACGGGCCGGTTTGCGTTTCTCATTATTTGTACTCACTTGAAACCATTGCTTATCAGGATCATGAACCATTTTATCTTCCTCTAAAAAGCACTCGCCATCCGTAATGGTAACCTACTTAAACGATTTATGACTGCTGGCACTTTTTAATTATTATTTATTTATTTTTATCGTTTTATTAGGGGCTCGTACAGCTCTTATACATACATCAATTGTGTCAAGCACATTTGTACATATGTTGCCATCATCATTCTCAAAGTGCCTACTTTCTACTTGAGCCCTTGTTATCAGCTCCTCATTTCCCCCTCCTTCCTCGCTCCCCCCTTCCCCCTGAACCCTTGATAATTTATAAATTATGATTATTTTGTCATATCTTAAACCATCCGACATCTCCCTCACCCACTTCTCCGCTGTCCACCCCCCAGAGAGGGGATTATATGTAGACCTTGTAATCTGTTCCCCCTTTCTCCCTCACCTTCCCTCCACCCACCCGATATCGCCACTCTCGCTACTGGTCCTGGAGGGCTCATCTGTCCTGGATTCCCTGTATTTCCAGTTCCTATCTGTGCCAGTATACATCCTCCGGGCCAGCCGGATATGTAAGGTAGAATTGGGATCATGATAGTGGGGGGGAGGAAGCATTCAAGAACTAGAGGAAAATTGTATATTTCATCGTTGCTACATTGCACCCTGACTGGCTCGTCTCCTCCCCGCAGCCCTTTTGCAAGGGGATGTCCAATTTCCCACAGATGGGCCCTGGGTCCCCACTCCGTACTCCCCCTCATTCACAATGCTATGATTGGGGGGGGGGGGGACTTTGATGCCTGATACCTGATCTCTTTGACGCCTTGTGATCTCACAGGCTGGTGTGCTTCTTCCATGTGGGCTTTGTTGTTTCTTAGCTAGATGGCCGCTTGTTTATCTTTAAGACCCCAGACGCTATATTATTTGATAGCTGGACACCATCAGCTTTCTTCAGCACTTTACTTATGCACCCACTGTGTCCTCTGCGATCGAGTTGGGACAGGCTGGTGTGCTTCTGCCGAATTATTAGAACAAAGTGTTCTTGTGTTGAGGGAGTACTTGTGCAGGGGCCCACTGTCCATCTGTTTTCTTAATACTCAACCTATAAATATAATGTACATAGATCTATTTCCTCGTCGTCGTATATAAATATATTTACATCCTCATATGCTTGTATTTAAATCTCTATGACTACCCTTTGCCTCCTAGTTCTTTCCTCTTATTTCTTTGTACTTTTCTCTTGTCCCACTATCATGTTCTGCCTTCATTTGGGTTTTAGGAATTCCTCCCGGTTACATTGCCCTTGATCCAGCCCTGCCAAACTTCCCACACCCTTCTTGCCACTGATTTTGGATCACTTGTTGTTCTCTTGTCCCTGGGCTTGTTAACACCCACTTCCTTTCCCCCGCCTCCCCTACTCCCATGTCCCCCCGGAACTATCATCCCATTGTTCTCTCATCTGGCTTGTTTATTCCACCTATCTCCAGGTAGACATGCTATGTACCATCACAAGACTGAGTACCACAAAGCACCAATAGAAAGTAAAACAAAAGCTACAACAACAACAACAACATACACACACACACACACACACACACACACACACAAACATATAAATAGTTCAGGGTCTGTTTGTTGTCTTTCACGGGTGCTTTCCAGTTGAGTCTGATGGGGTGCCATGCCCTGGCACTGCCTCTATCCCTGGGGACTTCATTGCTCTGCGCCCCCAGCTGCTCTGCTAGCTTCTGCGTAGTGAGCTCAGGGCGGGCCCAATTCCCACCATGTGTCTCTAGTGTTGTCCCCAATGGTGCTGTGGGTCAATGAGGAACGCTGTGTTCCGTGGTGAGGCAGGCCCTGTGGTCATCTCTGTGCATTGCTGTTCTGAGCAGGAACATTGTCCTCAGGGCTTGGTGAGCCAGGATGTGCTCTACTCTTTTTTTTTTTTTTTTTTTCCCTATCCCCCCTCGTTGGCTCCGGTGTGCTCTGACCAGACCAGTCCCTCTTCCTGAGCTGTAGTTTCAGTGCTGTCCTCTGAAGTGAATTCTTCTTGGGGGGGGGGGACGGTGGTGCTGTCCACTTAGTTGGTAGTGTGGCCGGCCCCTCATCCCTGCTTCATGTCAGTGTGTTGCGTTCTTGTCTTGGAGCGCTGGATTGAAGTTTGGTCCCTCTTTCCCTATGGAGACACAGTCAACACCCTCACCCTGTGTGGGTTAGTGCCCTGTTCCCCCGGCTACCCATACCTTTTCCCACCTCCTTTTTAATGGGCTCCCATATGTATCCCTGAGTTTAGTCTGGCCCCTGGCTAGCACTTAATTTTGACCTCATGTATCCACCAATGCACACAGACACTGCTATAGAATTCATGTATCACCAGTGCACACAAGACACTGCTATAGAATTCATGTATCCACCAATGCACACAGACACTACTATAGAATTCATGTATCACCAGTGCACACAAGACACTGCTATAGAATTCATGTATCCACCAATGCACACAGACACTGCTATAGAATTCTGCATCCTTTCCATCCTTTGTTACGGCCCATCGGTCTCTTGACTTCTCCCCGGTCTATTACCGGCTGCACAGTAAGTGTTGAGGGTCCCCCACCTCTTCTGCCATAGTTGTCTGGGCTTTCTCAATCTCTTCCTTGTTCATAATACTTTAGAAGTTGCATGGGGGGTGGGGGATCTTCAATTTTTATTTCAGATGCCCTAAGTGGATTGATTTATAACTTTTTCCATTTAGGTTGTATACATATTTCATTTCTGAGTGCCTTATGTTTTGATTGCCTTTGGAAATGATAACTTTAAAATTTTTTCTTCACTCTTTTGGAAGATGTAATCTGATAGTTCAAGAATTCAAAAGTGGAAAAAGATCTAACCGTGAAAAGCTTCTTTTCTACCCATTCCTGATTTTCTCGTTCTAGAAATGTTCATCTTTGACAGTTTCATGTGTATACATCTAATAATATGAGTATACGCAAAGAAAAGGTTCCCCTCTTGATTTTATAACGATCATTTTATAAACTTTTGTTGTGAAAATTCCGTACTATTCTATACTCTGCTGATTTCATTTAACAAATTCTTAGCGAGGATTCATACCCGCACACCTGGGAGTTCTGCTTCACGCCTTGGGCGCGCCGAGGGCATGGTGAGGTGGACAGCATGGGTAGCCGGTCTGGCCCTGCGGTGTCCCAGGTGTTTTCATCTTAGAGCAGCACCTCAGTGAATCAAGGGGTCCCTGGTGGCACAGTGCGTCCGTCCTTGCTCAGTGCTAGCCAGCAGGTCTGTGATGGGAGCCTACCAGCTTCCCTCAGAGGAGAGATGTGGCAGGCAGCGCCCACACGAGAGTCACCACCTCGGAAATGCTGCTGGCAGGTCTCTTCTGGCCTCAGAGCCACTGCGAGTTGGAACTGACTTCAAAGGTTTGCTTTGTTTTCAGCGAATAGTTGTGTCCGTGCCCATAGATGATTTCTTTCAAGGCTTTATGTTTTCTTTTTTTATTATTTATTTTAAATAATTTCACTGGGGGCTTGTACAGCTCTCATCACAATCCATCCATACATCCATTGTGTCAAGCATATTTGTACATTTGTTGCCCTCATCATTCTCAAAACATTTTCTACTTGAGCCCTTAGTATCAGCTCCTCATTTTTTCCCCTTCCCTACCCTCCCTCCCTCATGAACCCTTGATAATTTATAAATTGTTATTATTATTATTTCATGTCTTGCACTGACCGGTGTCTCCCTTCACCCACTTTTCTGTTTTCCGCCCCCCTGGCAGGGGGTTTACATGTAGATCATTGTGATCAGTTCCCCTCTTTCTCCCCCCACCTTCCCCTTACCCTCCTGGTATGGCTACTCTCAGTATGGTCTTGAGGGGTTTATCTGTCCTGGATTCCCTGTGTTTCCAGCTCTTTTATCTGTACCCGTGTACGTGCTCTGGTCTAGCCGAATTTGTAAGGTAGAATTGGGAGGGAAGATAGTGGGAGGGAAGAAGCATTAAAGAGCTAGAGGAAAGTTGTATGTTTCTTCATCAGTTTTTCATTCAACGGTTCATCCACACGTTTTCATCTCGTTGATTGCAGTCCCCTCAGTGGACAACCATCTGTCCCATTATTACATTTATGAAATTCGCCATTAAAAAGGAGGCGGGGGATAAGAAATGCCTATTTCTAGAAAACCAAAAAGAGAGTAATATCTCAGCTGATGCGTCAATGTGCAGTTTGATGCTAGGTTACCTGCAGAACCCCAAGTTCATGTCCTTAGTTTCACAAGCCCACAGGTGATTCTTTGAATCTGCTGAGAACACCCACGCTGAGAGTCTCAGACTATATGTACTTAGTGCTAGAACCCACACACAGAGAACGAAGCTCGCATAGTCCCTCTCCTTATGGAAATGCCCTTGCTGTCTTCCACTGGGCTGCTCTCATTGCACCCACTGAGACCTCTAGACGGGCTTTAAAAAGATGTTTTCCTTGCCACCCACTGGTCAGTTAGAACAGAAGCACAGGCAGGAGTGCTCTGTGCTGACACGCCTCACCCCCACCCCCACCCCCTCATATTTTGTTTGGAGGAGCACGGGACACTAGTGGTGGGTCTGTCCTGTTCCTTCTCCACTCAAGAGTACACCATGTGTTGAATTTTCCCTTCTGTGCAATCTCCACAGTCGGTCTCCAACTGCAGAGCCGCTCGGTGGAAGCTGCTTGCGTGCTGGGCCCCACTGCTCTCTGGCCTGGGCCCAAGCAGAGTGGTGGCTCCGGAGTGGGCGGCGAGGTCTCCATGTCAGGAGGGTAGGGTATGTCGGGAGAGGCTTGCCAGCTCGCTCCCTTCTGACCAGCTGCTTCAGAGACTATGCGTACTCCAGGACCTGCTTGTGATGGAAGAGCAAGTAGCCCTCTCTGTCTAGCACGTCCTTGATGGTGGCATTGTCACCCTTGAACCACTGGTTGTTGTGCTACTGGATGAAGCTACTGTGGTGGCCACTCTCCAAGGTGCCTTGGTGGTTAACCACTGCGAACAAGGAGTGTTTGTTATTGTTCAGGTTCCCCGCGGCTGCTGGCACTGCCCTTCATCCTGCTCTTGTTGTTTGAGGCCGCGAAGGGGGTCATGTCCAACTCCAGGGGGAAGGACGCGTGTGGTAATCTTGCTCCTCAGCTTGGCCGAGTGTTCACACCGTTTAAGATGAAAACAGGCAACAATGGGCAGTTTCTGCATGGTGAGCTGTTGGTGGATTCCTGGTAGCTGTGGCAACCATGACACTGGATTTTGGCACTGCTTCCTAGCTGCTCTGGTCTGGTGAATCTCCGCAGGCAGTCTGTCAGCATGGTGGTGCCTGAAGCATGACTTTCCCCATTGACCATGCTGCCCTCACTCCCGGGCTCAGGGACCAGAATGGTGTGGAGGAGGCAGGATGATCCAAGCTGATGTCCCAGAACGTGTCTATGATGGTGGGGACCCCATGGCACACCTGGCAGGTGACGTCCAACTGCAGCCCCCCTGTAAAGATCTGGTCAGGGATGCAGTTGCAGTGGTTGGGGTTGTGGGCCTTCTTCTCCTTGTCGTCCCCTTTGCAGTGCCGGTGGAGGACGTCCAGCGCTGCAGTCAGGAACTCGTGAGCATGCTGCTGCTTGTACCCTGCCAGGTGGTGTGGGGAAAGGAGGGCTCCCAACAAATCAGCATGGGTCTGGCAGGCACAATTGTACGGTGATAACAAGTAAAGATTATAGTGGTCATAGAGCGCATGAAAGATAGAAGAGAGATTGAAGTAATGGAGTCAGACAGTTCATGGTAGCATGCTCACCTCAGCCCCGCTTGTTGGTCCTCGTGGGGAGAGTTCCCCAAGAGTGAGAGTAGGAGAGCCCAACTTTATTGCTAACCAAGGGTTATAACTACTTAGGGGGCCCTGATTCCAGGTAACCACACATCACAGGAAGGGGCAGTACAATAGGCATATACATCATAGGAAGGGGATGTATGATAGGTATAAGCATGACAGGAAGAGGGTGAGCTAGGGGTGTGCACATAGGAATGGGAGGGACTAGGGGTATACATGTGACAAGGTGGGCGGACCCTAGATTCATGATGGCAGCCTACCCTTGGTCATCCTTGGGTGGGCTTGACCTCTCTGGGGTCTCCTACAAGGAAACAGTCAACTACTATCCTTATCAGAAGGAAGGGGGTCTTACTTGTTGTGAGATAAACAGTGGTGACTGCTTCCTCCAGATGGCTCATAACTCTTAGGGAGAATAACCCTTGACTGATGTAGGTAGAGGGCGAGGCCATGGACATGGAGCTGGTCGCCACCACCCGGCTGCTCACATTTGAGCAGCTTCAAGGTTGACAACTGGAAACAGAAGCTGCGCGCCATCTGCCAGTGCTTTGCGTGGAGCGGTACTGCAGAGCCCACAAGCAGGCGCAGGACCAAGTCATGCGTCTTGTCTCTTCTCGTGGTGTCCATTTGAACACGCTCCACTCCTGCCTCTGTGTCTTCTTTGCCTGTTGCACAAAGAAGCATGTTCATGAACTTGCAAGGTTGAAACGACGCAATCTACCCATAGACCTCATGCTTCATGGAGGCATAGGCTGTTTTGTGTCAGTAATGGATTTTTGTCACAAACTTTTTTAAAAACAGTGTATTTTTAATGGTTTCCTGCAACAGCTGCCTCTAGGATTAAACTTGTTAGCAGTGTTTTCGTATCTTCTAATCTGACGTCACATCCTACAGTTTCATCATTCGATCATGTTAGGATTTGTGCAGTCATCACAGTCAATATCAGAACATTTTCTTCTCGTACTCATTGCTGTTAGCGTCCCACTTCCCCTTATCCTCGCCTGCCATGTCCCTAGGCTATTAGCAGTGCAGTTACTACCTCTGTAGACCTGCTGTCCTGGATTTCACATACGGAAAGTCGTGCAAAACCCGAACTGGCAGCAAACAGGAAAAGAAAAACCAACACCAGCGACACGACAGGACAGAAAAACAACCAAAGAGAAAGCAGAAAATGCCAAAACCGGAAACAACTAAAATGAGTCAGAAGAGATCAAAGGATAAGGGATTACATTTTAACGTAGTTACATCTGCCATAATCGACTTTATAATGTTCTCTGCCTTGATAGCAAGGCTAGTCACATCCTTGGACTGTGTTCAGAGCGGATTCGCCAAAGGCTTAATCACGTGGAGATTCTGCAGATGGATTTTAGGCCTCCACGGTCATCCATAACTCAAAACCAAACTCACTTGCCTTTGAGCTGAGCCTGACTCATAGTGAGCCTATATGACAGGGTTGAACCCCCCTCCCCCTGCACCTCATGAATTTCCGAAACTGTAGCTCTTTATGGAAGTTGAAAGCCCTTTCTCCCATAGGGCTGATGGCTTCAAACTGCTGACCTGTGGTTAGCAGCCCAATGCTTAACCACTGTGCCATCAGGGCTCATTGCCTTCTGCAAACCAGGTGTTCACAGTTTAAACTCTGATACCATTCCCTTTCAGACTTGGATTTTATTGTTCACAATTCCTGAATCACACAGACAGGTGTGTTTTTTCCATGTGGACTTAATTGATGCCTCACTTAAATGACTGTTTGTTTGAAGATAAGCCACTCAGACCTCAGGTGCTATTCTTTCTGATAGCCCGACACCATCTGGTTTCTTCACCACACTTGGCTCTAGCATAAAGGCAGCTTTCATTTGATTCCGTAGTATTTGTTCGTGTATCTCTCTTCACCCCTTCAGCTTTTCTGTATTTTATTTTTAAATGTGACTTTTTACACAGGTTATAGTTGCTAGACATTTGTTGAATCTTCTCATTGTGTCCTCCTTGACTTGGACCTCTCCGTTCACATTTCTCGGTCTTTTATCTCTGTTTCGCTTTTACTGAGGAGTTTCCTCAACACCCTAATTGTTCAGTGGTTGCATCTAATCTGATGTCTAACATTTTAATTCCTGGATGTTACATGTGTCCTTTTGAGTAGTCCTTAGCAAGTATTTTGAACTTTTTTCAGATTTTAAATCAGTAAAATTTTCTTTGCAAATTTTTAAATTATTAAAATACTTTGTTAACAGTATTTCAAATTATGCTATAATTCTTTTAGCGCTCATATCGTGTGTGTGTGTGTGTGTGTGTGTGTGTGTGTGTGTGTGTGTGTGGTGGGAAAATGCCTGCTGGTTCTTGCTTCGGGTGGCTTTCTCTTGTGTTCTTTTAGAATGAACTCACCATCTTCAGACTTGATAGGGATGCTGGAGGGTTTATTCAGTTACATATGCACACTCAGGTGTGCATGCGTTATGCAAGGGGAGTTCTGGGTAGCTTTAGCACCTGTGTGAACTGTGCTATCATAACCACAGTCAAGACACCCGACTGTGCCGGCATCACAAGAGTCCCTTGAGTTCGCCTTTCATAGCCATTTTCATTTCTTCCCCACGTCGTGTTCTCGGTTTTCGTGATTAGGTTATTTCACAGATGTTACATAAATGGACTCATGCTGTATGCATCCTGTTAAGCTTGGCTTTTTATAAGACTTTTTGGTTGTTGTAGAAGAGGAAAATTGGGGCTTACCTGAGTCAGTCAGTAAAACTTGGGGGTTCTGATCCAACATTTACTAATTTTCTCAACAGTGAGTGGTTACCACTGGACTATAATTTTTAAAAACAAACAAAACACTTTTCCTATGTAGTGTTTTGGGGAAAGATTGTGGCTGGTGACATTTACTGAATAAGGTTTTTCTGTTAACGTGTATGTGTGTGTCCTTTGTTTAGGAAGTCGAAGCACCAGAGGCTCTCAACTTGACAGTCACAGTAGTAGTAGCAACTATCACGACAGCTGGGAAACTCGGAGTAGCTACCCTGAAAGAGACAGGTATCCTGAAAGAGACAGCAGAGATCAAGCAAGAGACTCTTCTTTTGAGAGAAGACATGGAGAGAGAGACCGCCGTGACAACAGAGAAAGAGGTTTGTCAAATGGAATATTATTACATAGTGGCCAACACTTTCACTCGGGGAATTGGATTTCTGAAACATTCAGTTTACTTTTTAATGTAACATGCCGTTAGAAACCTTGGCTTAACAACACGCTGGAGCTAGTTACTACCGTCTAGCCCTCCTCTTGGTTTTCTTTTGCACGGCTCCGAGGAATGATGTCAACAGAACAGAATGAGTGGATGCGGGCCCTGATGGGTATCCCCCATCTTAATGGAAAAGGCCCCAGCCCTCTGAAAGATATGGGTGTTTGGGTACCATCCCAGCTAATTCTCATTTCAGAGCTATTTAAACTTTCTCATCTGACTTCCCTGGCTAATCAACTGTGACAAATTGTCTCCTAACGACTGCCAGAGAGGAGCAAGAACAAATGATGATGGGCTGGGGATTGTGGGAATAAACTTTATTCATACTCCTTCTTGAGAAAATATATTTATATTTGCTTTAGCTGGATTTAAATTCTGGTATGTTCTAAGATGATATTTTTCTGCTAATCTGGTTGATGGTATCTTAAATTTTGAAGTAAAATTACTTAGAGGTATTTAAGAAGCGTTATTAGTGTGTTTTTATTGTCTGCCTATATTAAGGCCTCTAAACATTTAAAATATAGTGAAGGTCATCTAAACATTCTGGGTTGCTTACTAGAACAAAGTTTGCCATATACTGAGATTAATGCAGTATGAAACTTGATGGGCCAGGAAATTCTAAGTTGGTACCTCACTGGGGCTGAATCAAAGCGGTTAATTTGTATCTGATGTGGGTAGTAGTAGACAGCTTACAGACTCTGAGCACCCTGCATACTTTTGAGATCATAGATCTGAGACAGGAGAGTGGGTTGGGTTGAGTTTGCTAAGGTAAGCCTGACGCACTCAGGTTACACCCATGTAGGATTCTCTGTGTGTTCATATCTGAAATGATTTCCTCTCTAATATTTCATTCACCTGCCGGAACCTCTTTCTCTAATCAACTACCGTGTCTTGGTAATGCTTTTGAACATAGTATGTCATGGGGTGTTCTTGTTGTTTCCTTTTCCTTTTTTTATATCCTAGCTCAAATTTTTCTTACCTCATGTCTGGCTTCAGTGGCAACATTCGATTTCAGTCATATATGCAATTCAACCATACACTCATTGATTAGAGATTGGTGCTGAATTTGTGTTCTGACTTAATCTTTGCAGGGTCCATGTGTGTGTGGATGTGATCGTAGAATGGATGCTTTACAGTTTAGGCAAAAGGGGCTAAAAGAACCACTGCCATTGAATTGATTCTGTCTCACAGCAGCCCTGTAGGACCGAACAGAACTGCTCCTTGGGCTTTATAAGACTGTAAACCTTACAAGTACAGGCACCACATCTTCTGTAGAGCAGCTGATGGGTTTGTACCGCTGACTTTGCTGATAGCAGTCCCATGCTTGATCCACTGTAACCACTTTAATGAATATCAGTTGTAAAGTAGAAACCTATTTTAGAACTTGATACATTCTACAACTGTTTATTTATTAAGTACCCATGCTGGCCACTTTGCTCGGTACTTGGAATAAAAAGTTCCCATGTTTATAGACCTTAACAGGGAAGAATAGGTACTTGGAATAAATAGTGTTTATTCCACAACAGTATTCCTGTCTTTTTAGACCTTAATACCTCAAAAGGTTAAAGAAAGGTTAGTAAGTGCTATAAGGAAAGCAACAGGATACCATCGAGCTCTAAAGATGGAGAAACCCACTTGAGATCGAGTGCTTAAGAAAAGTTCGGGGAGACGACCTGCAGAAATGTGGCTGGAAGGGAAGAAGCCACGTTTGTAGAGACCAAGGATGAGCTCGCTTCATGTGGAGGGAGTTTGCCTGAAATGGGAAGTCGCCAAGTGGAGGCAGGATGAGAATGAAGACCTTTTGGCAAGAGAGTGGTGAGCAGCAGGGCGATGCTGGCTCTTGGGAATAGAAAGGTACTACTCCCAGACCTTGTCCGCTCTCTGAGGAAGCCCATCTTCCTTTCAGTTTCTTCCTGTCCAATCAGGATACAGAGAGAGTGGGACTGTGAAAAATGCTGTTCTTATATGTAGTCTCGGGAAGACAAAGGAGAAGTTGTAAGGAAACACTGTCGTCTGAAGTAGGATCTAAAGGAACAGTGAGAAGCACTTTGCCACGAGAGGGAGCGGCATGGGCGAGAACAGACGGAGGGTGCTGACGCGTGCTGCAGAGCAGGCAAGACTGATGCTCTGAGATCGGCGTGAAGCTACGCTGCTTCGACGGCCAGGAAAGATTGGCTGGAGTATAAATGTCCTAATAAGGCAAGCTAAACATTGTCATGTTACCTTTTCATTGCCTAAAAGACAACTGCGTTTATAGTCGCTGGAAGAAAGATCCTTTATTTAAAATACGTGTACGACCATCTGGGTAAATCTGAATGTAGAGATACCAGGCACCCAGGCCAGTGATGTAGTTAGTTTTCCAAGAAGAGCTGATCAGAGTCTGAGTTCATTTGAGGGAGCTTCAAAAGTTTGTAGGAATATTGCATTGTCTTTTAACGTAATTTTTCATGAACTTAAGTTGTACTAAATGAAAATATCAAAATGTGAAGTTCTTGTTTCTCTGCATATCCTCCAGTTGGGTCTCTACACTCTGGAAGGCATTGTTTCCATCGCACCAGCATTCCTAAAGAATTCTGTGCCCTTCAATGTATACCACATTTAAATGGCAACTTTGGCACCCTCAGGGGGCTCAAACCATGTTCCTTTTCAGTGCGCTTTGGGCGTTGGGAACAGAAAGAAGTCCACAGAAGCACAATCAAGGCTGTAGGGTAGCTAGGGCAAGGTTTCACTTTGAAATTCCCAGAGGACACCCTTGCTGTCCTTGAAGAATGAGTAGTTGCATTGTGATGGGGGCGGGGGGTTCTTGATATACTTTCCTGGTCGTTTCCTTAAGCCCCTAGGACCACCTATGTCCTTCAAGGTAATCAATTAAGAATACCCCCTTGGGAATAACCATAGCTTGAGTTCTCACTGCCAGCTGGCCCAGCAGATCTTCACGAAGCCCTGTTTTGATTTGACCTTTGTGTTTTGAAGGCACCTAATGACACTAAGGCACATGTATAACCGAGACCTTGTCTGCGGCCATCCACTGATTACAGAGACACGTGCATGCACATTTTGTTTGGAATAAGCACATGCGTGTCTGAATTGAATTTCTAGCTCTCATGGAATAGATAGGTGATGAATTAAGAAAACACAGTGAAACTGCTGAGAGCTGGAACTTGTCTGGCCTGACTTGCTTTTTCTGGTCTCACACATTTCCCTTTGACAGGAGGCAGTCCTGCCACTTCCTACTGTTTCTTCTCATGGAAAATCCGGGTTCTCCTCCTCTGTCCACTTTATATAGGTGTTACTGTATATGAAGAAGAAAACATTTGGAAGTAAGATAGCGGAGACACTGTAGACATACAAATGTGGTGTTCTGATATTATTTACATTTTCGTTTGATGTATGGATCATTGTCATTTAGTTGAAAGAATAGTTTTTATCTGCCAAAAAAGAGTACCTGCATAAAATAGTCTATATACTACCCTTTCTGTAACCAGAAACTGCACTATGAATTGGTGTAAGTTGTATTCCTCTCGGGTTACTTTGTAGGTCTTGTGGCATTGGGGTGATACTAAGATCAGGAAAGCAAACAGCTTATAAGAGGGGTGTATCATTCTGGGAATCCAAATGACACGCGTTAGAGCCCTTTTAAACTTTAGCCGGCTCCCACAAATGTGAAAGGATATAAAGGACTGACTTCTAGTTCTGATATCCTAATTCTGCTGCTGTCTCCGGGACTTTGGCACATTAATTCTGGACCATAGTTTTTGTGTTTTTAAGAAGAAAGGTGGGAAAGTTAGACAGGGCTTTGTTTGTTTTAGCTTCAAAATTCTGTGAACTTTTTAATTTTTTTTAAAGTTTGAGTGGAAAGAGTAAGTTTATTGAAGGGGGGATACCTAGGAAAAGAAGTCCAAAGAGCCCTTTACCTCATCTAAAAAGCTCTGGACCTACAACCTTCTCAAGAGTGAAAGATGGATATTTCCTGCCTTCTTCATCCGTGTAAAGGAAGGACATTCAAATTAGGATAGTTTCCTTCTCTTGAAATAATGCTAAAAATGATTTTGCTTAATAAATGGAAATGCTCCACTTAAGATACAAACTTGTTTGTCTCTGTAGTATGTATGTCCTTTATTGCTTAACCGATCGGCACTCTGTAGTATAGAAATAGAGCACAATAGCCTAGATCCTATCCCAGTGAGTTACTTAGAAAACAGGCGATTTATGGAAAAGCCCAAATTGTCCTCTTACATGTTTGATCCCCGAATCATGTCCTGCTCAATTGGGAATTTTAACATCATGCATTCATGTCCTCAAATGTTTAAAGATAAAGAAAAAAACAAAATTATAGTAGTAAGAAAAGTTGTGTCTTTGTGTGATTAGTGTTTTGATCGGAAAAAGTATAAAATGTGATGGGACTATCATTTAACATTTTTAGAAAATAGCTTCATCAAAGTGATGAAGTAAGTTTATTATTAGAAAATAATTTAAAACGTTATTACTGTTGGGAGTTAAATACTAATTATAAATATGTATCACTAAGATCGTCACTTTTTACATTTGCTTATTTCAAAATTGCTAAGCGCCATCCTAGTTTATGGTAAAAGAAATTGATATTGCAGCAACAAATATTGACAGATGTTTTATTCTGCTATAGTCCCTCACATAAGTAGCTGCACTGTGATGTGTATGTCTTTTGCCCTGAAATTAGAGGTGTGACTTACAAGGGGACATTTTTTTTTTCCTTTAGCTCCTTTGTTCTACACCTCCTGCTGCCCCTATCCTTTGCCACCAGTGTTCTCAGGTCCTGCTGGGGGGACAGAGAAGATCAGAGGTGAAGGGTAGAGATGGCAGAAAGTGGGCTTGGAGCAGTGGGCTGGAGGAAGGGTAGGGAGCATGCAGAGAAAAGTCGAGGTGGGTCCAGGGGAAATGGAGGGCGGGTTGATGGGAAGCAGAAATGATAGAGGGCAAATAAAATGTATATTTAAGAAAAAGTCCTGTAAAGTCTAGGGGTGTTTGTTATTTGGTTGATTAAAAGTAAATGTGGTGTCTGGTTTATAATTCATTGCTGGTGTGGCCATGTATGTATGTATATATATACACGGAGATAAAACTTAAGATTTGCCATGCTGTCTTACCAACAGGTTCTCTGTCCAATGAATCACTGACAAAACTTGGTTTTCATTGTAGATCAAAGACCAAGCTCACCAATCCGGCATCAGGGGAGGAATGACGAGCTTGAGCGCGATGAAAGAAGAGAGGAACGAAGAGTAGACAGAGTGGATGAGAGAAGAGACGAGAGGCCCAGAGACAGAGACCGGGAGCGAGAGCGGGAGCGGGAGCGGGAGCGGGAGCGGGAAAGGGAGCGAGAGCGAGAGAAAGAAAGAGAGCTAGAGAGAGAGCGGGCCAGGGAAAGGGAGCGAGAGCGAGAAAAAGAGAGAGACCGGGAAAGAGAGCGCGAGCGCGACCATGAGCGGGAGAGGGAGAGGGAGCGCGAGCGGGAGAAAGAGCAGCGGGAGCGGGAGCGAGAAGAACGGGAGCGGGAGCGGGAGCAGCGAGAGCGAGCCAGGGAGCGGGACAAGGAGCGAGAGCAGCGGCAGCAGCGGGAGTGGGAAGACAAGGACAGGGCGCGCGAGGACCGCCGCGAGAAGCAGCGAGACGACGCCCGAGAAGACAGGAACCCCAGAGAGGGCCACGAGGAGAGGAGAGCAAAGTAAACATCAGATGGCACATCCGTTTTGAGAGTTCTACTTCATTTAATGCTTTGCAGCACGCACCTTACCTGGCTGTTACTTTTCTGGCCATTTTCTCCAATTTCATGCATTTCAATTTTAAAAGAAATACTAGTTAAAACGTATTAAGTGTTTAAAATCTTTTGAATTATCTATGGGAAAATAACATCCCCCCCTTCTCCTCCTCGTTGATCCAGGGGAGGTTATTATTATAGGGCCGTTTTTTGGTAGCACAGTGGCTTACTCACCTTCTGCAGACTTTTTTTCTAAGAGGCAGTCAGTAGAGAAGTGGTAGAATCAGCCAAGCTGAGAAAGTGCACGGGGAGGTGGGTAAACCTGCTTTGCTGTCACTGCCCGGGTCTCCAGGAAGCAGTTGCACGGTTAGACCTGAGGGAGCCCCCGTGCTACGCCCTGCGTGGCTGCATGTGGGGCCTCAGAGTTGTCCCACCACCTCTGGGGCCACCTTCTCCACTGGGCGGCTGGCCTTCAGGAAAGGAACTCTCAAGGAGACAGGAGTGCTGGGACCATAGTTTCTGTAAACATGATGAGTAAAAAAAATTAGTCATAAAGGAAAATCTGAGCACTAAAAACGCTGCAATTACCCAAAACTAAACCCAAACCTAGTGCCACTGAGTCAATTCCTCGTACTCAGTGACCACATAGGACAGAATAGAGCCGTTTCCGAGACTAGAAGTCTTTATGGGAAACAGACAGCTTCTTGCTCCCAAGGGACTTCTGGTAGTGAGAACTCCCCATGCTGTGCTTAATGCACTCTACTGCCAGGGCTCCTTAGAAGTGTCCAAGAGACCAGTGCATTACTACTGAGTTCAAAGAATAATACCATGAACATTTGACTGCTTTATTTGTCATCAAGGGTGTGATCTATTTTGAAAAAAGGTAAACCGATGTTTATAGTATTTCCATAATATGCTTGGCATTGGACTTCGGAAGTTACTGATTTTTCCCTCGCTTTAATTTCCCCCATTTTCAGATGAAAAGTACAGGTTCTAGTAAGTTCGAGTAACTTACCTAAAGCTGAATGGCTGTAAATTGTACTCATTTGTTTGCTACTAAAGTCAATACTAGGTTTTCCCCTTCTGTTGCCCAACATAAGGCATTTTTGTATCATAATATGAAATTGGGAAATGTATTGAGATACATTAATCTATTTATCCCACTTTTAGATATCACCACTTTGCAGTATTTCGATCTGACCATTTTCAGTGGAAGTGAGTCTATACATATAAAAGAGCAAAAGAGAATACTTGTATCTAAAGCCTGCGATGTCCTTTGCAAATCAAATAAAGAATTTTATTGAAGATAGAAGTTAGAGTATGTTTTTTGCATGCTACAACTGACAGTACTACTGTCCTAGCATTGCATACTCTAATTATAACAGAAGGGCTGGCAACACATTTAGTAAGGGACCTCCTTCACCCACTGGACTGTTACAACTACACCTGTTCATCCCCTGTAGGAAGCGCTACAGAAACGAAGGGAGCCCTGGCCCTCGTCAGTCACCGAAGCGCCGACGCGAGCATTCTCCTGACAGCGATGGCTACAACAGTGGAGATGAGAAGAGTAAGCACACTGGATTTCTGTACTTTGTCTCTTTTTTATGCTGTTCTTTGCCTCGGTACTCACTTTGATTTTTAACCGCGAACTTAAAAACTGATCAGTTGAGACAGTTAAATATTTGTGCTCTGATGACTCTTGTCGTTAAAATAGCTGTGTTAGAAATACAGTTATTGTAGCACATGACGCTGTTATTTTTTTAATCATTTTATTGGGGGCTCACACAACTCATCATAATCCATACATACATCAGTTGTATAAAGCATATTTGTACATTCGCTACCCTCATCATTCTCAAAACATTTGCTCTCCGCGTAAGCCTCTGGCATCAGTTCCTCATTTTCCCCCCTCCCTCCCCGCTTCCCCCTCCCTTGTGAACCCTTGATAATTTATAAATTATTATTTTGTCATATC